GCCCCGCCCATATAAAGTGAGCCGCTCATATTTAGCTTGTGAGGTTCGGATAATGAATGAGAGCCTGATAACAACCAGCCTCATGATGAGAAAAAAGGTGATTCATCATTAAAGACATTTTCATATCAATAAATTTAAATTATATTGCAGCTGCGTGTCTCCCTTAAAGCAAGCAATCCAGGCACAGAAACAATGTTTGGGACTAAAAGAGTTTTTGTAAAAACAATATTTTTTTTGTTTATTATTTCTTTGTTTTAGAATGAAAACTTTTAGACTGAAGTTTTTCTTGGTCTGCTGCTATAAGCTGGAGCGACATCGCATGTGGCAGAACCATCTTTCCCGCTTTTACTGCAATCTTACCAGTTTGGTTTTCTTTTAAGAGAAACAGCCTCCATCGCTTCTTCTCCTGCGATTATTTTTAGCACCTGTCGAAGCCTCTAAATATTAATTGAAGTCCGACATATAAACACGCCAAATAAGAAGAAAACAGAAAGGAAAACTTCTTCTTCCGGGTTTATTCTTTCAGAATAAAAGCATGATCTCCGGATTCTATTGTCCGAACGAGGAAGCAGTTTGAATAAAATGTTTTTAATATTTTTAAGTCAAGCTGGACTTTATTAATATCGATTTTTTTCTTTGAACGGCGAATAAATGTCTTTCTTTTAAACATTGTTATTTGGAACACATGATATACGAACTATTAAACATGTAACATTTTTCATAAAGTGATAAAAAATTATGAATTAAAATAAATGCTTAGGTTTTATCTGTAATAGTAATGAGTTACAGGGTGTCCTGATTCTCTGTATAATTTTGACCATCTGAGGATGGACAGAAGCCAGAGGAACAAAGGTGCCGATCTTTTGTTGTTGAGTGAAACCAGAGACTTTTATTTTAAGGAGATTAGTCTCTACGTGGAAAGCGCAACAAAGGGACATTAACATTGAAACCCGACATGAATGGCTGGAGTGGGATAAATTATACATAGACTGGAAAACCCACAATATGGTTTATATAAATTAAATTAATAGAAAACATGTTTTGCATAAAGCGGCATATAATAAAACAATAGCATCTCACAAAATTTCACAAGAAAATCCCGTTAAAGTTCAAAAAACAATCGACTGGACTTGGTTTCCAAGGTTTGAAGACGTCTCGTAAATCGTAACTATGCGTTGAACTGGGTTGAATGTACGTGTAACTAAAAGCATAATATTAGACTCTTTGTTGTTAATCTAAATAAACAAATCCTAGTTTAAACATGACGGGTAGGTTTTTGGTAATCGGTAATTCTATCTCATTTGAAGGTCTGGTTACCAAAAGTAGCATTTGTTGGAGGATCTTTCTTTAAAGGATCTCTGATCGTGTCCTCCCCCATCATCTAAGCAGGAAGTGACGTAACGGAGGCAGCAGTTTGCTGAGCTAGGTCCTAACACAGCAGAGAAGTACGAGCCACCGAATCCGTGCCAAAGAGCTCAGGGGATATTTTCAAAATCCGTTTTCATCCGTAAAAGTTTAAGGCGCATCGATTTTTAAAACGACAGGAGCATAAAGTACAAACATCACACTTTCTTAAAAACTTCATATTGTCGCAATATGACTTTTTCAACATTGTAAAACAAGAGGCGAAAGATTGTCGGAGAGACTTCACCCAGAGACGGCTTACAGAAGAACAAAAATTGTTGGTTGAACGGATCTCCGGTTTCGACTGGTTCGTTTAATTATTCTACTTGTAAACAAGTTGGAGGTTTGAAGCTGACCATATTTTGAATATTTTGGAGCTAGCGAGCCTGCTTGCTAGCCAACGACAAATTTATTAACATGGAGTTGAGAGTCGGAAACCGATACAGACTGGGCAGAAAAATTGGAAGCGGATCGTTCGGAGACATCTACCTGGGTATGTTTGTTTTTCACAGAAACTCGTCTGCCTGTCTGTGTTATTGTATCAACACTGTACGCAAAGTGTGAGGAAGTTGACCAACTGGTTCCCTTTTCAGGGGTTCAGAAGGAGCCCATGAAAGGCGATCAGCTGTTGTGCTCCAGTTAGCCTCCGCTGCTAGGCTAGCAGTTTCTGTAGCAATTAAGCTAGCTTTGTCGTCGTCTGCTTTAAATATTAAACAATCATTCTAATTGATTATACTTAATAAAACATATTTTAATATTGTGTTGTGTTATAACTTTATGTCGGAGCCGAAATAAATAGTTTAAACGACTAACTGTTAGCTTCTGTGCACCTAGGTGTTTTGTCCTCAGCTAGCTAAGCAATTTTTGCTGTTGTTTTTTTTAGCCTCGCTTTTACAGAACTTTAACCAGTTTTATTCTACGACATAAAATGGTCTTTTAGACCAAATCTAAGACATTTGAAGTATTTTTTGGGTGGATGTTTTATTGTTCTTTAACACACCAACCGAGTCTATTATCGGTTTAGACAGATTTCAGGTCACTGACTTAAACGATATAAAATTCGTAGCAGTGTGATCTTTATTTTTAAGATTAGCTCCAAAGAAGCGGTTATATATGAAGGCCCGGAATCAGTGTGAGAACAAGCTGTCACGAACAGGTTGTATAAATATAGCTCCGTCTCTGCTGGGTGACATAAAGACATTTCTTGATAATCAATGCTCGTTATCTGTCTGCTGATTGACATCTTTCATTTTTTTGGTGTTATAAATGGAACGTAGATTCCTACTGGGAGGAAATGTGTTATTTGTGGCTTAATTTGATCTGGCTTCAGGCCACAACAGAATCACTATTGTTTTCATATTGATACCGATAACTGATAACCGTGAATCTATAGTGTAAACTAGTACAAGAGTTGACCAATATTTTTGAATATCTACATCTGATGTATCTTGTTTACACAAAGCTCTTCCTTCATGCAAGGTCTGGGTTTAAAGCGCAGTGGGATCGAGATGTGACCATCTGTATTCCTCCAAACCCCCCCACCCCACACACACACACACACACCATCACAAAACTGACACATTCAGAGAGTTAGTTGTCTCTGAATGTAGATATAAAGGTGTTCGCTTCGATTTGACTCGGGGAGAAATGATTAAATATGCTGTTTCTCCAACAGTTGTCGATTTGTAACTCATAAAATTACTTTTTATTGCTTTTGTTGAGCTCTTTTTCATTGCATTTAATGCATCGAAGCCAAAAGCCCCATTTACACGAGCCTTTTAAAACGGTGCCGAGATCGTCCCGAGCGTGGTGATACCGAGATTACTGTTGAGTATAAATGGCATGCGGAACTGAACTGGACCAGACACAACCGATCCGCACTAATCTGGTACTAGTTCATCAGTAGGGCGGTTCCGTTCTGGTTTAAAAAGCAGATGAGCAGACCGCCTCATCTCCTTACAGTCAGGATCCAAAATTACGAAATTTAAGACATTCATAAAAATTCTAGCTTCCGTACTGTGCCACACGATGGTTCTGCTTAGCAGTGTGTTAAACCTTAATGTCCGTCGTTGTTTCCTGCGTCTGGAAGCCCTGGTTAGACTATTGTTTGTCGTGTCCATTTCCCAAAAGCTGACTTTTGTCAAGTAAATTCACCAAAGGCTGCCTTCTTCGCCTGACTCTCAGCAAATTTCCTCGGTATTACGGGCGCCACCATGTTGATTTGCTCGTTTCCCCGTAGGGAGCGGTAGTACTGTAGATCGCCACTAGGAGGCGAGGAACCGTACTAGTGTGACCCATGATTTATATTTAGAAACCAGGTCGTCTGAATGCGTGTCGCAGTTAACGCAGATATGTCCCGCCCCTTCCGCAGACAGTCTGCTGCGCCTCTCCAAAATTGTAGGTGACCGCAGACAGGAGGCCTCTGATTGGTCGATCTTCATCCGCTCTACACTATGCGTATTTCCTGTTTGGTACCTTACTGGCTTGTTTTGTTTGTATGGGCGTCATTGTAGACAAACTCACCCTTCCTTCCTCACCGCGTCGGCCGTATCTGGACCCACAGCTAGTTCCTGACGTTCCAACAGTCGTAAGGAACCAAGCTCGGCGCGGATCAGTTTTCAGTAGTGTTGCGCCGATGCCATTTTTTGGCCCCGATACCTGGCTGTGCAGTATCGGCCGATACCATAATAATGTAAAATAATTGCCGTCATGGCTTTGTCAAGCTGCTGCCTACCTTTGTGAAGCAGGAAAAAATCTAATACAAAGTGAATCCAGTAAAACTTTTTATTGCCTACCAGGAGTGGGTGACAATAGTTGAATAAACTTCTGGCTCTCAAAATGGTATCAGTGCCCTATTTGTTGTACTCGCCAATACCGATACCACCATTTTAGGGCAGTATCGGGGCCCCGTCCGATACTGGTATCGGTGCAACACTAGTTTTCAGAGGGTAGTGTAAACGGGGCTAAAGAGAAGGGTTCCTGGTCTCCCCTGTGATAATGGTTCTACAAGTTGTTCATTTTATTGTTGTTGTTGATTGTACGTTTTGGGAACTTTTTTACAGCCATTTTTTAACAGCATACCTATAATTGTTACGCAGCCGTGTACTATTAACTTCAGGTTATTTGTTTAGTAATAAAGCCCTTTTTGCTGAAGTTTAGCACCAGAATATTTCACAGATTAACTCCTGCGTTCTAAAGAAAACTGATAAAGTCTACGGTGTTGTATCTGTAGTGTTTCCAAACACTGGAGAGGTTAGATTAATTAACAGGATCCGGTGTTTCTTCCACACGACATGTTGTACAATCTGATAGAGAGCTGCCAGTCCCTTGCATAATCACTGTGTTTTCGCTTAGCTGTCCATCCTCTCCATTGAGTGGCTGATGACTAATCTGTTGTAACGTTGTAAATGAGTCAGAGCCGTGTGTGGTTCTGTTAGATCAGTTTTCCCTCTGTTGCCTTAAAACATAACAGAACAGGTTTAAAAAAAAAAAAGTAAAATTCTATTTTGGTTTCCTAAATCGCTAAAGCTACCTTTACTGTTAAAGATCAGCAGATGTCCCGGGTCATTTGTTTTGTTTCCATAAGACTGATGTTGTTTCAGAGAACTAAATCATTGCTGCCTGAAAGAGGAAACGAGTGGTTAGATGGATTACGAAGTCATCCTCTGTTCCACATCTGTTTTCTGTTTCAGTCCTTTTTAAAATGTTGTAGGCCAGTGTCCACAGGGACAGGAACTCTGCCAGGGGACAGTTTCACAAGTAGACAAAGGAAGTGGTGAATGCACATGTCCCAACCTAATCACCAGTATCAGACTGGAGCTCTAACCAGTTTAGTTCCTTTAACAGATCAACATTGGGGGTTACAGAGAAAAGAAAACAGGACAAAAGGAAACTGTAGCCTGACAGCGTTATTGATTAGTTATTTATAAAAGCCCTCTTCTTCATGTTGCCATTATCCCTTTTTTTTATCTGTCCTTAATTTGTTTTTGTTTTTTTACATGGTGGTTTTATTAAATGGTGATTATGATGGAAAACAGAAATCAAGACTCTTTGTTTCTGGTTGTTCTGATTTATGAACAGGTAAAAATCATCCAATACAGGTT